TGAATCTAAGGTGAAGAAAGCCGTCCTGACATCACTGCTGAGTTTGTAAAGTGCTCTAAAGTGACATGAGAGAGAAAAGAAATACTTCTGCTTTATTCAACTGATGAAAAGAGACGTCCACCTTTAAAGGATTTTTAATGACGCCTGTCCCGACGACGGATGTGCCCTGCACTTATGATCCTGCAGGAAGTGTATTGAGCTACACTGGGTTGGATAGAATGAAAAGAAAAAAAAAGAAAAACATGCATACTTTTAACCGCTGGAGAAAAGGAAGACGAACCGGAATCAAACTGTGAGGTTCAATTAGCTTCACGGTGACATACACAGGTTACCGTGTCAGCAGAGGTGAAGGGGAGCTCGTTTACAAAATGTCTACCTTCCTTACACACATACGTACATTTGTGTAAACATGCAGAAACGCACAGACACACACAGGTTTACGAGAGCTGTGGCCAAAGTGTGCAGTGATTCAGGATTGAAAAAACAAGATCTAAGCCTCCTTCTTATTCTTCTTCACCAGAGTCCGTCATCCTCTCATCTTTGAACAAATACCACGAGCTCGACTCGAAAACGCCACAAGACCTAAGACCTGCTGTGCAGCCGAGTGGGTCTGTGAGAGTTTCATTTCAAAATGACATTTACCATTTTTATTCTATGTTTTAACAGGTACAAAATAACTGCTGGTGTATAAATTGAACTAATTATGAAACATTGTTCTATTCTGATGGGAATGATGTGAGCAGTCAACAAATGATGGAGATCATTTTGGAATAAAACCCGTCACATGTCAAAGCGTTCTACTGAGGTAGGATGAATTGGTGGCAACCTGTACTGTTTGAGGTTGACATGGCTACTTAGGGCAAGATCTGGCTACCAGCGACGTTACATATTCAGTAGCATGACAAGGATCCTTTAATCAGCTCAAAATGCAAAACAAAAAATAGAGCCTCACTTCCTCAAATGCCTCATTTTTTTTAAAACACTCGAACTGTAAGTTGATAATCTGCTTCCTTATATGATTAGACTCAAAGTAAGGTGACCAGACAGAGTGTCTGTCCACTCCACGTGATAAGAAAATTGATTTAGGAATCGCTGCAGCTCTTAATTTGCTCTCTGTATTTCACATGATCGACACCAAAACATTAACAAATAAGACAAAAAGGATGTGATGATTCTAGCAGCTGTTCAAACGTGACGTGGACAGCGGTGAGATAAGAGGAAGACTGCAGGCTGGTCAAAGATAAACGTGTCCGACTCACAGTGAGCCCGTCGGCATGTCGCAATTACAATAATAAATCTATCAGAGTCTGGCACACAGGTACACATGTTCATGCACAAACACACTCTCCTATGCGTCTCTCATTCCACTGCAAAGCCGCACGTCTCCTCAATAGCCGTTAGCAGCTTGTCGTACAGCTTGTCGTAGCTCTCGTAGGGCGGAATGTCAATCCGGTTGAAGCTGGAGAGAAGGAGAGAGTGAATGAAGCTACGAAAGAAAGGTATTGTTTGGCATTATTGTGATAAAATAAGCGTGTGTGTGTTTGTGTGTGTGCGTGCAGGTGCATGTGACACACACCAGGTATGAGCTTTGGGCAGATTGTTGGCGTTGGCATCGATCTGATGGATGGTGAAGAGTCTTGGTCCTGCAGCACCTACAGTCAGAACACAAATCCAGCATCCACCCTCAGTGTGTAATCGAGCCGTTGATCCACTGCTCACGTCAGAAGCGTTTTTATCTAATGCTTCTTTTACTGATCTTTCAATAAATAATTCTATGATAAATAATATCTGAGCATTAAACATGTTCAACATTATATATCTTTAGTCTGAGCCACATCATGGTTTTTATAGCAGCTGCGGGTTTTGAACGGTAACACTGACATCAATTGTTTGTCTTTGTGGCCTCAATCTGTAGAGGTCAGTCTTACTTTATTATTACAGAAGCAAAGTGCTTCACTTGAGAAAAAAAATCTGCTCTGCTCTTCTGAATGGATGAGATTATATTTCACGTTATTAGTTTATCGGCTTTGTTCAACCAAGTAGAACAGAAGTTGAACCAGAACCAGGGCAGGATGTCAGCTCTCTAAAGCTAGTTTGAGAAACAAAAATAACACTTATCTAAATGATTTGGATTAAAGCCAAACTTTGATAAAAGAACTATTATGAGAACAGGAATACTTAGAGGAAGAGATAACAATCACATTTATTAATCTGGAAAATCTCATTAAAAGGAAAGAGCACATAGACTCTTGAAAGTCCTCACATCATTTATCTTTCTTTAAATGTTTTTGAACCAGTCTGAGAAAACCTGAGTTTGACCTTTCAGCGGCGGTCAAACTAAAAGACATGTCATCACAAAGACAGATAAATACCTTGTAAAGCCTTGAAGCCTTGCAGCGGGACTCTGGATGAGCCAGTGACAAACTGCAGCAGCCGAGCCCTCCTCTCCTCGTCGAACGACTCCACGGCTTTCCAGAACCACTTCACGATGTTGCTGTCGGGGGTGCAGTGCTTCAGACGGGTGTTGGACTTCCAGTCTGAGATGTCGATCTTTCCCAGGCCGCACACTATCAGCTGAAAGTAGAGAGGGCCAGAGAAAATGAATATAAACACATTAATAAATCAGTTTATTAGACAAGAGATTGTTGGTGATTTTCTGCTGCTGTATTTTCCAATCAAACAGAAAAATAAAGCACAGTGGTAGATGAGGTTAAGTGTGTGTGTGTGTGTGTGTGTGTGTGTGTGTGTGTGTGTGTGTGTGTGTGTGTGAAGCTGTGTATTGCAGTAAACAGTGTTGAGATGACTCTGAAAGCTATACCTCCAGTTCCTTCTCATCAAAGGCTTTGAGAAGGTGTTCAGGTATAACCTCATTGAAGCCTTTCTGCAAGGCCAGAAACTGAGCCTCGATGCCATGAAGGAAACGCCAGTTCACGTACAACCTGCGGAACAAGCGAGAAGAGGAACAGAGGGGAAGGTGAAAAACATAGAAGTCTTCTGTCAGCTTCTCAAACAACAAAATCCAGACTCATGTTCACCATGCTGAGTCAAAGGAAACGTGACAGTCTGCACAGCCACTGAAGATCTGTGGGAAAGCAGCGAGGTGATAGTCCTCCTCTTACCTGACGTACTCCTTCTTGGTGTCCTCTGAGACAGGGATACTCTTGCCGTTAGGTTTCAGTTCATGTTGGATGATTTCTCCGTAGGCGTTGTGCTCCACACAGAAAGTGTGGTCCAGGACGCCAGTGATGTCATTGTCCCTGAGCAGAGAGAGACAGAAGGTGACAGTCACGACTGGAATCAGAACTTTATTTGAGCCATTTTTAAACTTTTCATTGTAAGTGGTAATTCAGCAAGAATGAGTCATAAGAACAGGAAACATTATCAATTAGATTATCTACTGGGATATGACTCAGTATCCATATGTGTTCTAAAAAACAATAGCACCTCACAGAAATGGCAAAAGGTACAAACGGATGATGTTCATCTGATGTGGCAGCAGAGGGCACTAAAGTCATTAGAATTGGTTTGGTATTTGTTAAACTGTTGGATGGTGCACCTACAGAATGTCTATCCTGTTTTTAATGCTTAGTGTATATATCAACACACTTGCTTTTTTCCACCCTGTCTACACACTACACACAGCCAGGACAAAGTTGTAGCAAGTTCAAAATGAGCATTGGGAAAATGTGTATTTCCACTCGTTTTAACAAGAAAATAAAATGTGTTTTTTCTCTTTAACATTGTCAGAGTGGAGCATTTAGAAAACAGTGTGTTGCCTGGTAAAAAAAAAGGTCTTACAGGATCCAGACGAGGCTGTTGTGGAGATCAGGATCGACAGACTCCATATCGTCCAGCGTGATGGGTTTCCCCAGCAGCTGTTTGTAGAAGGGCAGAGTGAAGCCTCCATCAATGTAGTGGCCGTGGAACACCGCCATTCCCATGATGCGACCCACAAAGTGGAAGTACGAAAGGTGCTCCTGCAGATGAAACCAGAAATATTAATATGATCAATCAAATCAAAACAAAAATGCACTTTATATATAGCTTCAGTTTTTTGCACACAGCACACTTTACCAAGGATCTAACAAACTACAGCAGGAATATATATACTAAGAAGAATCTGATAACTAAAATAATGTTATGTCACTCTTGCTATTTTATCTAAAGAAATATTTTGCATGATGTCATACGAAAGCTGAAATGTGACTCTAGTTTGAACGTCTAAAGATTTCCTGCCAGGATCTGTGTAGATGTTTAAACAAAAACTTATTTTACATTTTCATTCACATCTTATGACTGAAACACTCACAAATTCACAAAGATGACTATGAAACTAAATAATATAATAAAATACCGGGTTGACGGCAGAGTCAGGATTAATCTGCAGAGTGTAGATGTCATCTCTGGAATACTGGAACAGGCCGTAATATGGGTTGAGCATCTCATGGGACAGCAGGTATAACCATTCCCTAAAACACACACACACAGACACAGAGACTCACTGTGAAAATGTAGTGTAAACAAACGTAAAGGATGTAATCTGTCTTTTAAAATCACAAAAGTAGAAAAGTAAATACCACAAATTACCTTGCTACCCCACCGTAATCCAGTCCCTCCTCTCCTCTGAACTTGATCATCAGTCTTTTCCAGAGATCCTTTGGACGCATTTTCATCACTTGTCGGTACGACTCCTATGGTTCAACACACAGTCAATCTAATATTAAAAAGTGCATTAACGATGGTCCTTAAATTTTCAAATTTAAAGCTTTGCTGGTGTGTGTGTGTATACAAACATGATGTGAGAAGAAGTTAAATGTCAACAAACAAAAATTTGATTGTTATGGGACTAACAAACCTACAGAGAGCCCATGTACTAATGTTGAGTGGGAGGAAGACTGCAGAAATAACACTGGACTGTTGGAGCTGTGTGTGAGCTGTCACTTCACGCCTAGGTCATGGAACTATGACTGTCAACATGAAAGAATGTTTTCAATGCAGATGTTTTCTTCTTTGCAGTTCAGGATTGACATGTAGAGCAGGGGCAGGAAAACAGACTGGTACGATGTCACAATAGCTTAGTCCTGGACAATATTAGCATTCAAGGATAATTCAAAACTATCTTTTTTTAATTGGTACATTTTCTTTTGGAGGGTTAAGGGCAGATGATGCCACATATTGCTAAACCTTATGAGGCAAAATGTGGTTCGTGAATATGGTATATACAAACAAAATGTTTGATTGATTGATTGATTGATTCTGAATTACAAAAAAAAATAAAAAAATGTACACACAGAGAAGACTGATGTCCATAATGGAGCAGCATGAATCAAGATTGACAAAATCCAGGGGAACAACATAAAGTTTGTAACAAGAGTTGAGAAATGACCTGAATGTTGTCGATCTACAACTGCAGGACCAGAGAGAACTGACATACTCAGGCTTGTGTATTTGCTCCGATTCAGATTCAGTCTTAAGATGCTATAAATACACCAGATGTTACTCTCAAGTATTGTCAATGAGGTGTTGGCAGGACTGTGGACAATGTACTGGACTGTTGTGGTGAAGAAGGAGCTGAGCTGCAAGGCTAAGCTTTCAATTTACCTGTCCATCTATGTTCCGACATTTACCTATAGTCATGAGCTCTGGGTAGAGACCGAAAACACAAGTTGCTCATACAAGAGGCTGAAATGAGTTTTCACCGTCAGGTGGCTGGGCTCAGTCTCAGGGATAAGTTGAGGAGTTCAGACATCTGGAGGGAGCTCGGAGTAGAACCGCTGCTCCTTCACTTAGAAAGGGGATAGTTGAGGCTTTCTAATCAGGATGCCTCCTGAGCGCCTTCTATTGGAGGTTAACCAGAGATACCCAACTGTGAGAAGACTCAGTGGTAGACCTAGAACTTGCTGCATGTGCCATCTGGCCTTGGAACGCCTCAAGATCCCCCAGGAGGAGCTCGAAAGCGTGGCTAGGAGAGGGTTGTCAAGAATATCCTGCTTAACAAGCCGCCTCCACAATCAGAGCTCTGATAAGCAGAAGAAAATGGATGGATGGAAAAAAAGTGTTGTTCTAAAATAAAGAAGTAACATTTCTGATGCATTTTGATAATTCTGTACCTCCTTTTATCAACCCCCCAGTTTCCTCTTTACATTCCTCTATTAATAGCCTATTAACAGAACTACTACGACATTTATCTGAAGCTGCTAACATAAGAGTCAAAGTTTCAGGTTAATATGTAAAGTATCATTCAAAACAGTTACAATGTACAAGTAAAAAATTGATGAGGAAAACAAAATGTATATAAAAAGTGACTAAAATATTTAAAATCCTCATGGCATTAATGGCTGAACGTAAAGAGAGTGAAACATTGTTGATGCAGAGAACATGCATTAAAAGTAAATCACACTATGAGCATTGCAGGTACATGCACACTCACGTGCACATGCTGCCAGTGGTAAAGCTACAGAGCTGGTTCCTGGGTCTGCAAAGCTGGTTTTCACACTTAACTTTCCCCTTCCATAGCTGTCACGTTGAAGGGCGGTGAAGTCATATATTTCATTGCTCTACTTGTAGTTATTAAGTTATGTCTGGCCCCCGCACACTTGCCACTGCTGCCTGAGCTCCTTTTCTCACCCGCTCTTTCCCCCCCCCTCAAATCCTGTAGCTGTTGAAATCATCCAGAAAGAATGCCTCTGCCTCAGAAGAACAAATGATTGGGAGAGCAAGAAAACGAGAGACGGAGGAGAGGAGAAGAAAAGGAAAAAAGAAACCTTTTTTTGTGGTGTTGTGGAGGTCTTTTTCTTCTGCCTTTCCCTGGAAATCATAAAGTGGTTCCGAGTAGTCGTTCTGCGCTGCCTCGGGCCCTTTTCGGGCAAACATCGTAAACAGGGTAAAAAAATGCCAGTAAAATCCAACTATCTGGGTTTGCCATTGTTCTCATGGATGTTTTAGACTTTAGATGTCAGCATGCGATGCTGTGAATGCTCCATGATGAATTTTACATGATCAATGCACGTCACATAAAATTCATGGTGTGTTAGTTGTGCATGTGTTTTGCAGCTGCGGTCAGATGTTTACTTTTATGGTTTAATGAACATGGAGAAATATTACGTTTGAGTGTCATGTTAATGATCATAACTATGTGAAGACAAGCATTTGCTCTGTTGAAGTGAAACAGTTGAGTGAAGTTTTCGTGATGGTTCATGATCTGTGAACACAAAGGAAGTGTTTGTATTCGTTTTGCATTCTAGCTACTATGACTGCTCTCAGGAACATTAGGCTACTAAATCAACTGCATTGTTAGCATCATGCATGGCTGTATAGAGTGAGATATATGTTGCACGTGCTACAAAAGAACTTTGGCGATGAACACATTTACTGCTGTAGCACCGATGTGATACAGTTTTTGTGTACTTTTGTTTGAAACAGCTCTATTTGTGTGAACTGTGATGTGAGACTTTGTGTACTTGCTTGTGTTTGAGTTGGACTGAAGACATAATGTTATTCTACTTCCAAGTTGTTGTCTGTCATGTGAATAAAAACCATGGTTATCAAAACCATACTCCCATCTATTCATTATCTATTGCATTTATTATCCTATCCTTTGAGGGTTGTGGGGGGAGCCAATTCCAGCTGACGAAAGACGAGAGGCGGTGTAGACCCAGGACAGGTCACCAGCGTATCACAGGGCCAACATACAGAGACAAACAACCATTCACACTCACCATCACACCTACTGTCAATTCAGAGTTTCATACTAACCTTACTTCAATCTGAGAGGAAGTAGTATCTAAAGAAAACCCACCCTGCCATGGGTAGAACATCTGAGCACAGATAAACCCTGGCCGAACCAGGATTCAAACCAGGAACCTTTTTGCTGTGAGGCGCCAGTGCTAACCACCACATCACCGTTCCACAAACCCATTCATCAGACGCCAAGTCACACAATTCTGTACAAATAATCCATTCTTTTTCACCAAAGACATTACAATGTGGTAAATTATCATTGATGAAGGAATACGAAGTAGTATTTTCATGTCGTTAATCATATGTGTGCACACACGCACAAACACACAACTTCCCAAGTTTGTTTTTGTTCTCTAATTAGTAATTTACACACTTTTTTAATCCAATATAAATATATATATATATTTAAGAACTGCCAATATGAACATATTGATGTTTTTATTTAAGTGCACTATACTTACCAACTTTGTGGCCTGTGCTACAACACTATCAAGCTCTATAGCACCAGTGCTATGTGGGAAAAAAGGACAAAAAATGTACAGCCTGGTTTTGTGTTAATCAGTGTATGAAAGAGTCATCCTCCACTGAGTTGCGCAATACATGTTGTTCTTTTTAATACCTCGAATATCTCCTCACGGCAGACCTCGATGCGACAGTGGCCAGCCTGGGGTTGCTGCTGAGACAGTTCCTGCCGCAGGATCTTCAGCTTCTGCACCAGGTCCCTCTTGTATTTGGGCACTGTCAGGCACTCTGCTTCTTCGGGTAACTGTGCTGGCGACAGAGCTTGCTGGGGGGCCCCAGGACCACCCTGGTCCTTCAACTGAGGCGGATGACTGGAAGGAAGAAGGCGGTTGAAAAGGAGGTGGAAGATGAGCAGTCAGGGAGAGGGGGAGGGGAGGAGTCCGGGGGAGATCAGCAGAGTGTGAAGTGAGTGACATGAAAAAGGGACAGAAGGGAAAAGACAGAACAGTAAAGTGTCAGCATGATTTATCATCCACTTAAAAAGCAGTAATGAATAGTTTGTCCTGAGCTGCCCTCCAAAGGCCAATGTCGGTTCGGTGTACTGCAGCCATTTACTGTCACATGGTCAGGGGAATGTTTTTTTAAAGCACTGTTTTGGTGGAGGCAACAAATTTATACAAAGAAAAAGGTAAGAGGGATACGTCCTGTAGGGAATTCCACAGCCCCTTTATCTCAGATACCCTCAAACCGCTGAACCAGGGAGTTTGGTAAGAAATTCCCTCACCCTCCTGTCAAAGCAAAGAGCCCTGAAATATCAACACCAGGAAAGACAGAGTGAGGGGGATAAAACCTGAGTGGGCAGAGAGAGGGAGAAACAGAAAGGAAGAAAAGAAGAGTGGTGTAAGAGTAGCTGTTGCCTCTGGCTAGTTTCTCTCAATGTCTAACCTCTCAAACTTTCATTTTTTATATACCCTTCAAATATTCAGCTGTGTGCGTCATCAAATCTTTTGCATCCCAAAAAATCTTAACTTCTTGTTTAAAGCCTACAGAAGCTGACGGACATGATTGATTTCCAATCTGGAAACCCCTGCCCACCATCAACCATGAAAGAAACTTACATCGTCCAACCAATTGAGCTGCTTTCCTTAATCATATCCAACAGTCTTTTTGTCAGTCAACATGGCACATGATCTCTCTGGGCTACAAAAGATGTTCTGATAAATGTAAAATCCAGGCTCTGCTCTGTGTTCATGTGTTTGCCTGGCCAAAGTGCAGCCTTGTTTTGCAATTTCAGATGAGCAAGGTTAAGTGAGGGAAAGAGTGTGATCTGGGAAACACGCCTGTCACTGAGGATCTTAACTCTTAACTTAACTCTGCGCTCTATCCACTTCTGTTCTGTTGCCATTCAGAGCCTGTATATTCAGAGAAAGTTTGAGATGCATTCTTATTCACTCTTGGCAGAGATGTGTGCCATGGTCAGTGTTGTAGTTCTGGCCTCCTCTGGCACTCACTGTGGTGTTGGTGGTGAGATGCCTGGGTGGGCCTCGTAAAAACATAATCTCACAGGACAGCAGCCCTCGTTTCGCTGCAATGAGACGCTCAGCCAGCAGATGACTTCTAGAAAAGAGGCGACTGTCCTCCGCTGGGAGAGGAGTGTTGAGGCTGCTGCTGCTGGCCAAACAAAGACGGCACACCAAGAGGCCTGAATTGGTATCTAAAGGAAGGAGAGGCCTTCTGAGGTAGCAGCATGTAGCCACCCACGTGTTGCAACACTCATTGTACATTTGGGTTCTTTGGTTCAGTTGGTTGAAAAAGGCCTCATCTATACGGGCTTTCCAAACTAAATGGGTGCAGTGTTTCACCAGTCTATCCCTGTATAATCAAGTCCACTGCTATTTATTTTATTGGCAGGCGCTGAGGCTCCAAGCATGTCAAAGAAAGGGTAAGACTGCAACAGAGCAGTCCTGAAAACCACTTAAGGAAGGAGGAGGGGAAGAAAAGATGACCTTAAAACAAAACGGAATAAGTTGCTCTTGGCTGGGAGGTTCAAGAAGCATATAATAAAGCATAATTTCAGCGCAGTTTTTTTCCCTTCTGAGGACACAGTGTAATTAAAAATACGTTTCGACATAGTTCATCGTCTCTGGTTTCCAAACGGGACGAGCTCTGCATATTTGATGGTAAATATAGAAAATACAAGCACAGCAAAGCTGAAAAATCTGCCTGAGAGAAAAAAAAGGTTCCAATTGCTGTGACAGCTCGGGTGAAATACGAAGTTTGGAAAGAAATATAAACTTTCAAATTCAATGTAAGAGCCAGAGGATTTTATTATTGTTATTCCAAGGTGGAAGGAACGGGAGGAAAGAAGCTGAAGAAGTCAAGAAATGAGGGAGTGAACATTTTCCTGAACTGGATCACCTGCACCTGAACCTGCGGAGTCATGATCGGCCTCCATCCTCTGTGCAGTGGAGGCAGACTGGGTGTGTGTGTCAGTCGAGAGGGAGCAGGCACACAAGAGCTAGTCTGCATGTATGTTTGTGTAAGACAAAGTATACTCGCCCCTTTTACTGTGGCAGCTGGCACAGGTGGGCTGCAGTGAGTGTTGAGTAAGTGTAGGGGTGTGAAAGCCACACCAGCCGCCACAACACACCCACTCTGCACCCCCTCCCCACCCAGCCCAGAGAATCAAAGGGTCCTTTATGAGTTGTTCTGCTCAGAGTATCAGCTGGTGCCCTGCTCTTTACACTGGCCCGGAAACCAGGGGAGGGCAGAGAGGTGAGGCAAAAAGTGCCAATACTGCCGACTCTGCACAACGTGGAGGCAATGTGTACATATATACAGTATGTGTGTGTGTGTGAGTGTGTTATTTACTTGGATATGTGTGTTTTGCCAGTTAAGATGTGACCTCTAACATTTTTTCCAACTGCCAAGCGCCCACATCTGCACACTACCTTCTCCAAAAGTACATGAAGCACAGGAAACCAGCAGCAGACAGACTGTGGTGATGAGACTAAAATATCTGAAGACACTTTCTGAGAATGAAAGATTTGCAAAAATCCACCATGACAGAAAATAATCTGCTTTCATTTGATTTTCATGCACATATCAAGATGGAAAATATGGCAAAGTTACTCAATCAGAACATGTAGACATACTGTATAAACCAGCAGAGTAAAAAAAAAAAGGGTAATCATAAATGACTTGTTTTGAGATAAATCATTTTATAAGTAATTATTATCATACAATATCTAATATCTCTATCAGAATAAAACTTTTCATAATATCACTTGACACAGTGCATATCATAGATATCCTGGGATTTGCTGCTAAACCGGTAATTCCCTTTAGTGTTTATATTTAAAAGGTTAAATATACCACACGCCATAATGTTCCAAATTTAATCACCACTTTTGAACACATCAATGCAAATATCGATGTAAATGCCAGGAAGATTTGTAACACTGTTGGGAAAATACCTGCTGATACCAACTACAATAAAAGCCAGAGCCAAACCAAAATACCTTCAGCAAACACTGATGTAATCTTTCAGACACACTACGAAAAAGGGAGGAAGGAGAGTATCTGAGAAACAGTGTGGCAGACCACAGTAATGTAGCTGTGTCAGACTGTCAGACAACTCAAGGCTTTCAACAGTCTGAGGTCAACGACGATGGGGCCGTTGGAGTCACATTTAAACATTTAAACCAAGACGTGTCCTAGTGAATCAAGCGACTAACTGTAGATTCACAGTGATGAAATATCAAATCTGTTCCACGCCATTTAATCTCACAGACGTCTGATGACAGGGTGTAAAACAATACACATGGTCAGAGATGCAAATAAAATCAACAGTTGCCTAAGCTCAAACTATATATTTCTCATTATAACATAAGAAATATCTAAATTGGTGTTTTGTTCAGTTGTTGAATTGTACAGCTGTGTGCAGTTCCATTTGCGGCACCATTTGCCGCGCGCACGTTTGAATGCTCATGCATCCATAAAATTAGACCTCATAATTTCAGCTGCAGTTGTGCATGTACCTGCAAGTGGCATACAATGCAGTTCTCATAGTCATGTATCTTTAGTCTGTGTACCATCACTTGGAATCTGTTGCAGGCTACTGGAATAGATTGAATGAATTCTGTAAGAAACGCTGACATAAAATTCCTGGATCCACCCTTTTATTCCGATCCACACCATTGGTTCTTCCCTGACCCATAGCGCATCCTTCTATCAAGTAGTTTTTGTGTAGTCCTACTAATTAAAAGACAGACAAAATGAAAACATAACTGCCTCAGTGGAGGTAATAACTTTAAGCTGAAAACCAGTTAGTAAATTATTGTATGCATTAGGTGCCGTAAACCTTAAAGCTTTCTTTCCCAATTCATTCCGGACTTTGGGAACAAAACACAAAATGTCCATAGAACAAAGATTATGATGTCCATAATTCCAGTTTAAAAGAGATAATAAATAGGTAGCAATTTTGCCCAGAATGGTTTTATATATGAACACATAACAGTGAGTGAGGCAATGCATTAATGAGGGAGACCAATTTGCTTTGGATTTAAGTTGACATTGGTGAGTAAGACAATGACACTGTAATTAAATGCCCCATAATAAACACTATATAGTATGTGAAGACAAGTGAGATCACAACAACATCTATGCAATCATAAGATATTAGTAAAAATGCTTTTCTATTTGATTTTGATTTATTCAACCCCACCATTCAATCTCTGTTTATGAAAACAGGTCATTGCATTAAAGCAGAGTAATGATGGTGTGGGTCTATGTGCATGTGGGAAGGACAGAGGAGATGACAGGGTGGGGGAGGTGTAGAGATTAAAGGATGAGAAGGATAGATGGATAGATGACTCTGCAGAAAATTGTAGTGGTTCACAGTTTGACTGGTTGCACTGATTTCTCTTTATACAGCAGAAGCTTCAGTAAACCTGAGCATAAGCAATAATGGGATTAACATTGGCTGTTGCCGCCTCTGTGCGTCCTCTGTATCTCTGCCTGTTGCTGCTGTGGCTGTTGTTGTTGTTTTTAATTGGCCTGCTGTCAGTCACCCAGGGTGTTTGGATTTAAGCCTTACTCCCAGTAAATAATACAACATCATGTCTGGATCATTAAAAGCCTGCCCAAGAAAATATAGCGTTTCAGAGCCAAAGTCAGTCGGCAGTCTCATCAACATACTTTGTACTACACTCTTCTAATTTTATTCTTTTTCTATCACAGAGAGAAAAAATACTTGCATAAATACTGTGTGGGCATTTTTGAAAATTAACTGAAGTTGACACTAAAACTGTCACCAGAGGTATAATAAGGACGAGAAGGACTTAGGCAGAAGTGATGTTACCAGTTTAATAATTGTCAAACTATTGGAGTTTGAGCTCATATACCTTCACAGTCTGCCTATTATACTTTATATTCTAAACATTTTTGGAGAAAAAATGAAGAACACCATGATTTCTTGACCCCTTCATGTTCTACTTTCATTGATTAAAATGTGGCTGATTTGATTATTCATCCTTAAAGTCAGAATAAAATTCTGATTGTCTTAAACTTTTGTCAACACCCTGAAATACCACATATCCCAATTTGGCAAAGACTTCTGTCATTTAATTATCCAGATATAGGCCAAATAAAGGCCAAACAATTCCTGACAAGGCTATTTGTAGAAGTTTTTTTTTTATCAATCAGTACATATCTCAAAAAGCTGCATTAAAAATAGAACTTGTTCAATTTGACCTTCCCAAAGCTCTAAGACTTTGTCTGGACTCTCTTAAAATCTCTCCTAATAAGGAGTCAGACAAGCAGTTAATGATCCAGACTGGAGAACATAGCTGAGCTTCAACTCACAACCAGGGGCTATTCTGACACATATGGATACTATTTGACCAAATGACCAGATGTTGATTTCTCAAATGTGTCTGCCGTGCCAGCCGCTGTTATTGCAAGAGATCTTGACTAAGAACTTGTACTAAAAAAGTGAAAAGGGAAAAAAATCCCCACATCTCCATGTTGTAGTGATTTCTGCCTCATACATGTGCAGGCTGGAAGCAAAGGAAACTAGAAGACAGCCAACAAACCTTAAACAATTCTATATTTTAGTTTGGCACACTGTTTTTTTTCTCAGTAATTCATATAAAACAATCTCTTTTTCTTCACAGATGCCTTTACTAGCCATAACTTTCACTAAATGCAAAGTTGAAGAGCATACACACAGCTTAAGTCTTTAGCCCATGTGTGTTCGCTGAGTCTATGAGAACTGGTACTGTGCTAACAGCTGCTGTGCAAACACGTGTTTTGTATTATTCTCCCTAGCGGGGTCGGCTTCATGAGGACTCTCTACTGGCTTAGCTGGCTGCGAACTGAGCACCAGTGAAGGCAGACTCCTGACAGAGAGCACAAACACACTGAAAGATGGACTGACAACTCTCCAATACACACAGCCAGGGTTAGGGGTAGGGTTTAATCTATGGTGGTAATGGGGGTGGTAATGGGGGTGGTAATGGGGGTGGTAATGGGGGTGCACATGCATGAAATACACTCTCACACACAACAGATTCCAACAGCTACACAGGTTAAAGAGTGACAGAGAAATTCTTGCATGAGACCCACACCACAGTTATAATGATGAGGTCTGACTGTCTGTGTGGACGGTAAAAACGTTAGAGACCATAGCTCACAGTAGCGAGAGCACGCAGCAGCTCACAGGAGCGTAAAAATTATGTTCATTATGAAACTGAGGCAGGTCAAATTAGAATATGGCGGGCTGCCACAGTATAGATAATTAATGAGAAACTCTGGTACTTGTCTTACTATAGATTTGAGGGGAAACTTTGGTTCAAAACCATTGTTGTGATGAGATTTTGGCTAATCTTTACTATTTCAAAAGGCTGTTTGACATTTAAGACATGATTTTAGGGTTAAAAAGAGGTTTAGGTTAAAGTAAGGGTTAGGGTAAGGGATTTAGTTGTGATGGTTAAGGTTCAGGTAAAGGGCTAAGGAATGCACTATGTCAATGAGTGTCATGAACAGTGTGTGTTTGTGTGTGTGTGTGTGTGTGTGTGTGTGTGTTGAGCTTCAATGAGACTCTCAGGGTCAAATGGAAGATCAGCTCTGAGGAGGTTGCACATGTCTATACAGGAACACAGACCGACTGGAAGTCAGCATTTTCTATTTATAAATAGGTAACTGTGTGTGTGTGAATGCGTACGAAGCTGTGGTTGACCTGCTGCTGAAACTGCTTTATACGGACAGCTGATAGTATGAAAATGTCTGTGAGTGCTGATCACATTGTTGTACATATATGTCACAGACCATGTGCAAATGTGCAAAGCCATACAGACAGTTTCCTACATGCAAGTGTGGGAATGTGCATATTTGTCAGACAGTGTGTGTGTGGGTTACCTGAGGTTAGTGTTTTGGCTCTCCATGGCCACACGGGAACCATTGGAACTTGGGCTGCAGGAGAAAAGAGGAGGGGAGTAAGAGACAGCGAAAAACAAAGAGGGAGAAAATGACACAAAAAGACGAGGTGAATGACAGAGGAGAGGAATAAAGTATAGAAAACAATGTGGGATATAATTTAAAAAAGGAACAATGAAAGAGGAAAAAGTGATACAGAGGAGAAAAGTCAAATGAATATAAGAAAAAGAATAAGATGAGATGGGAAAAGGAAATGAGAAAAAGGACATGAGTAGAGGAAATATACATTTGGAGGAGAAACAGAAGCAGGAAAAAGGCCAAAACATGAACAAATAAAAGGAGAGAAGATTGAAGAAAAGACAGCAGAGTCGTAAGAATGATGGATAAGAGCAAAGACCATTGGCAGAGACGGGAGACAGAGAGAGAACAGGGAATAAGAAAGTCAGAGAACAAAAATATACAGTGAGATGAATGAAGCCAAAACAGTCATCAGTGATTATCTTACACCACACATTTTCATTACTGAAGGATTGATGAATGTGGTGTGTATCACAGCCTTTTCCCCCCATTTCAGGTTATCCTATCAGGTATCAACAGAGTCATCATGTCCATATTCAGGACAAACAGTGTGAGTTGAAAGATACTTTTAAAAAATCTGAGCTGATAACTGTCCTTGGTAGAAAATACTTAAAACTGAAAATAACAGATAATAGAGAAGAGAGCAAACTTTTTTTAAAAGCCCAAAATATATCAAGCTTGCATCAACATACATAAAATCTTGGTTGTTATTTTATGTGTTTTAGAGCCTCCACTTAATGCAATCCCAATCTGCATGTCTTTGGAACTGTGGGAGGAGGCTGGAGTACCAAAAGGAAACCCACACAGACACAGGGAGAACATGCAAACTCCCCACAGAAAGACAACGGCCAACCTAGGATTCAAACCAAGAACCCTCTATCCCCATTCCGCCCCACAATGTAGCATCATAATAAACCATTTCTGTTTTGGAGGAGTAACGTAGATGTACACTGTTGCTTTAATTTAGAAAAACACAAATAATGGAATAAAAAAAGCTAATATTTGGTAGTGCAGTCTGTGACACACTCACTTGAGTACTAGATGCAGGTTGGCAGATAGTCGTGGGTCTGTGAACTGTGTGGTCCGGTTGTTGTGATCAACAAAGTAGACGCGGCCGGTGGCTGTGTTTCTGATCTCCCAGCCTGGAGGCAGTGGGCCGAGCTCCTCACAGTTCACGTTACTCAAGTCCCTGAACAAAATAAATAAAAGCCATTAGATTTTTAGGTTAAATCAGATGCTGAATTAAACTACAAATACAAACACACATACTGCATAAAGCAACAGGGCCTGCAGACCAAAAAAGGAGTCAAAAGGAGTCAAAGTTTTAGTACTTTAGAATTATTATGCCTTTTTATATGACTGAATGGTCTCAGATGTTTGAAAATGTCCTCTTAACAAACATAATTTAGTATTTATTGTATAATTAAATATGGTATCAACAAATTTCAGATTCGTATCTTAAAATTAAACATCCTGCTCTGCATCATAACTAAGCACCCTCACAGAGATGTATAGTTAATTTATTTTCTACAATATAAATCTGAACACCTTTTTAAACAAAGGATAATTTCCTAACTACAACTAAACGGGTGAACAATTGCATGAAGGTTTTCACAGAAGCTTCACAAAAATTATCCATTCAAAAGACCCAAGGACATTAGCAGCATGAACATGGTCATTATCCACCGCTCCAATTTCTAGATTCTTCTTCTATCCAGTACACTGACATTTCTGTCAGTAGAAAAGTCCTGATCTGGGACAATGCCGTAGCCTCAGGAGGTCTTGTGATCATGTGTGTGTGAACATTTTGTCCTTGTGTGAAGTCAGGGACAAAAAACATGCCTCGCTGCACTCATCACAAAATACTGGGTCATTTTAGTGGCTCTGTCCAAGATGACCAAACCCAGAGTTGCTGCTGTGAGTTGGACGTTACATGCATGTGCTTCATCAGTGTGCAGCAGGCTACACCGAGACATGGCCAAAAATGTAACGCAATAGCACTGCCTGCAGTCTCCGGTGAGTTAACTAGAGGACTATTGAGAGTTGGTGAAACAGTTTGATGGAATGCAGAACCACTGTGTTCAGATCAACATCTGTACAGAAATGTTCTTCTCGCTCCGTGTCCCAGAGGTCATTAGTTTGGCTGACCCTGACTTGAGCCTGAAGTTTGACTAACAGGACTGTTTCTATGCAATTAAGTGAGAAATTAAGTTTGATCCAACCCAGTCACATCCAGTTTACTTGTCAGTTTTGGGACTTTATGTCAGGTTGTATATAGGGATTAAAACATATAAGTTGTCTGAACTGTGGAGCATTTATCATATATTCAAGTCAATATTTTTAATTCTGATTTAACCATGCTCATATTTATCAATAATCTATGTATTCCAGAAACCTCTGTCTGTTAGTCTGTATCTCATATCTCGCAAACAATTTATTGCCTTCACACTCAGCTTTTGTATTGTTTACTGCAATTTGGACATGTAATACGTTCAATATTAATACAAAATTAAAAAGAGTGCAAAGATTATTAAAAAAGAAGCCAGCCTGTGCATTGAGTTGAACATGTCTTCTTCTACGTCCTCAGATAAAATACAGCAGAGGCTGGTCACTCGTGGGCCAAAACTGGCCAGACAGCAGTAATATCTGTCCCACCAGATCATTTTGATATTTAATTATTTTTATTTCAACACATTGGACTGACAGACGTTCGTGGGTGTTGTTGGAGCTAATCTCTGTAATGACAACAACATTCATAGTATGACTTCCTCTTATGTAATTTGTCTACAAAATAAAAGCCCAACAGAGCTTTTATTTTTAAAGGTAAGAACTTGGGCATGAAGATTGTGTCCA